TTTCCATGTTCAAGAATCAAGAACACGCAGCTATGTAATTAAAATTACAGAATTTCGAAAATAGAAATAATCTACAGGTCAAAAAAATCACGAATTTGAGAATTTTCAAGAATTGAGATGACAAACTATATTTAGCAATAACTTAGACGATTCTATATTTAAAAATCAAGAACACACAACTATGTAATTAAAATTAAAAAAAAAAAATCACAAAACTAATCCACAACTCACAAAAAATCACGCAATCTTGCAACGAAATTGAAGGTTATCAGTTGTGACTGATCGTAGACTGCCGGCGACCGTCGTCGGTAACTGAAAATTTTGACCGTAAACTACCGACGATTTAAGAAAAATTCAGGAGTGAGAGAGAGATAAATGGAAGGTTAGTGTTGTGTTTGTGAGAGTTTGAGTTCATTTTTTAAAAAAAATTGGGATAGCAGGTCTGGTTGGGATTTGGACGGATCGTGAATTGTAATAACTACTAGGAAATTAGAAATTGACAAAAATACCAACAAAATGACAAAATTATTGAATTTACAAAATTGGAATTTTGGATAAATTTTCAAAAAAATTCAATTTTTTATTTTATATATTTTTTCGCCAGTCCAGTTTGATTTTAAACCGTAATTGAAATTTCCAAACCTAAACCAATTTCGTTGACGGGTCCACGTGGCACCAAACCGCCGGTTTCGAAATTGCGGTTTCGATTCGATTTTCTAGTTTGACGATTTTTGCTTACAGCCCTAGGGGCTCATATATTGGGAAAAAAATGATCGAGGATATGAGCTCGATTGAGTATACAATATGAACTGTATGCACATAATTCCTTAACAATTTGAATTCTAAAGAAATTCGAGCAGTTCAACAGCAAACTAAGCCTTATTTCATTAAATTTGGAATTGACTACATGAATTATCTTCCTTCACACTGTTATATCCACCGGTGAAAAATCGTGTGCAATAAACTCAGGACAGCCCTTTAGATTGTTATTATTAGTATGAGAAAGGAGAGATATCTAATAGGCATGTCTAAACACACTTATTCCAAATCCTACATTGAATGGAACGACGTAAGGATGCATATTTTACTATAATATTTATTTAAATGCTTGAGTGATCCTTCTAGAATCTATATAACCCTATTCTTATCTGGTAAAGACTTCCAGTCCCTTGAAATCTATATTCCACCAGACAATAGTAGAGCTTGAGCTCTGTGTTGACATTGAACTCTCCAGATGACGATAACAGCGGTTCCTGCACATAATGTAACAACCATGACAAGATTACTAGATTACATCAGAAATTATTCAAACAAATTAATAAAGGCATGTTTGACATCGATATTTTGAGAATAGAGAAAAGTGATTCTTTAGGAGAATGTATGGTTAAAAATGTGAAAAAATTACGAGTCCATGTGCATAATTATTTTATTGGGAGAATATGTGATTAAAAATGAGTCTGGACAAAGATGGGCTAAAATATGTGATTAAAAAGGAGTCTGGACAAATATGGGCTAACTTTCTTGACCTTTGAACTAAATTAGGACAAGATGATCACAAAAATAGTTATTTTAGTCTTTTCAATGAAACCGTGGTAAAAATCAAAATGTGTGATGTTGATAGCTAAGCCAAATATGTATACTTAGGAAACAGAATGTCAGTTCTGTCACATGATCAGTATTTCAAAAAAAAATCTTGTTCAAAAATGCTACTTGTATACACGTGGTACACAACCCTCTCATATGTATATGGGGTCCACCACACACATGTGAGAGAGTTGTGTACCAAGGTGTGTAAGTGTAGCAAAATTCAATCTTATTAACATTTTTTGAGAGAGTGACTTTCTATTGAAAGGTTTGACTTGACAGAAAACTGAAGCTTGGGATCTCGATGGGATTTCATCACAAAACTATATACTGTTACTATTTGCTCTATCACTTGCTGTATTTCATACTTGACCTTTATTTTAGGGTCCTTCAACTATCTTATTGCCTACTTTGACCTTAGATTTTTGTGAAATATTTGCAAGAGTCGTTTTAAAAACATCTTCCACGAAACGTTATTCTTCTATTTTTTGTAATTGCTTCTTTTACTGCTTTTATAAATGTGTATGTCGCATCGCCAATCGTTTTTTTTCCCTGGAGAGGGGCTACAAAGAGAAGCGAGACTAGTTGCTATTATATGGTTCGTATACTGAATTAAAAGCTTAAGCTGTTAAATGTTGGATTCAACTCGCACTTTCACGTGCAAGATGGGTTTCATGTTCAAATTAAAGGCATGAGACTTGAACAATTTTCACAAATGGTTGACGGCGAGATTTGAGATTTGACCCCGACATTTGGCTCCTTCATTATAATGTTGAACTAAGATGTACAAGATTTCATGTGACTGCAGCCAATTGGTGATCTCGATGAAGAAGAGAATGAGAGTAAAAATACTAAAAGTTGTGTCTGCAGCCTGTTGATGATCTTCACTGTTAAGGATAAAATTTCATATCGAATAAAGATGAAAACATAGATTAATTTATAAGAGTTTTGGCACTCCTTTTAATAAAGTCTACATTTTAAGATGAAACCCAAAATCTTAACAGGTATTAAAGCTCATTAAGTTCCAACGAGTAATTCGATCCAATTAAAACTTAAACAAAATTGAGTACACCAATTTCAAGATTATTCTGCTCAAACGAGCCCCCCATCTTGTGGGTGCATATTAAAGGATAAAATTTCACACTGAATAAAAATGAAAATATAGACTAATTTATAAAAGTTTGGGCTACTCCTCTTAATAATGTTGACCTTTTAAGATGGAATCCAAAATCTTAACATTCACAAGTACTGAAACAATTAGCATTTCCACCATTTGT